GGATATGTCGAATATTTTTGGTTCGATAGCCGATGTGTCAAAGTATTTTGAACTCGAGGAAACCTATTCTTACGACACTGGCTTATACTGTCGAACGTTCGATAAGGTGCAACACTCGGGGCTCCGCAGTTTTCGGCCGGGCTCCGCGTTTTTCGGCCGGGCTCCGCGTTTTTCGGCAATATAAGGAACGCCGGTCGGTACTGACGTGCTTCGACCGGCGATGACGGGCTTCGTCGAGTTTTCAGAAGCGGTTATATTTCGGGTTTGTTTGCAGCCTGTGATTGACCTCGTGACCCTGGGTTAACGTAAGGCAAACCCAAAAAGTTCAGGATTGCATTTGAGCATTTGCATGTGACCGGAAGTAACCGGGTTCTTTCCGAGTTCCGGGTAGGGTTGAAAAGTATGTACCGGACTATCAACAATGGCAAGCCACAGTCCCCCGCAGGGGGACTGATCGGTTCACCGCTTGTTTGATTAGTCCGGAGAACCGCTGGAATCGTCACTGACCGAGCGTGTTAAGGTCGCTCAAAAGTGCCCGGTACATGTATCCCGTCCGTGCGGTACAACTCTTTTTTGGCGGGAAGGAAATTGAACAGTCCTCAAAAAGATTGTTCAATGTCGACTCTTTTCTGCTGCCTTAGCTACTAGTACCTGCCCTGCACGAGCAGAGGCGCGAGGACAGGGGAAAAGTTGAGCTGTTGGGCACCTCAGATGCAGTCCAAAGTTGGAAGGTCCACTCGTTGGTATCTCTTGCAGCTGTGTGTTGGGTCTTCTGCTAAGTTTCTGGATGGAGACTGATTGAGGTCGGCATTGCGAGTTTCTAATTCTTTATTGTGGTACGAGCCCGTCACGAGTCAGCACGCTGGCATCGAAGGTCTTCTTGCATGAAAAGCAGACGCTTCAACCTATCCCAAGCATTTAGCGTGACCAAGCAGACTCTTGTGAAAGCAGCACTATCTGAAGTTCCATAAGGTTATTCATGAATCAGATGATTCCAGGCTGACCAGCTGATTGCGGACAATCTGCCAGTCCTAAGTTCAAGCAGAAACAGGGCTAGATGTACATTGGCTCAGCTCGTGAGCCCTAAGAGTTGTTCCATGAACCGTTTGACAAACCAAGCTGAGCTGCAATAGAAGATGAACTCCTTTATAGATTCTTTGCGCCTGCCACTAGCTGCTGACACTGACGCAAGGGCCCAAGTGTACGAAGCCCTGTTGAGCCACCAGCAAGCTGCTGATGTCACCATGGCCAGCGAACCCATGACCAAGGACCATCTGCGACAGATCTTGCCCAGCCTGGTTGCTGACATCGCTCATGCAGATGAAGCGCTCGCATCTTCTGCCGTCAAGTGCCTGGGCTTCAACCTACACCAGAGCAACTTTGTGTCGATGGTGGGAGAGGCAAAGGTGAAGGGGGTGGTAGAAGCTTTGGTGGCTCTTGTAACCAAAACAGGCAGCAAGGTAAGCTATTTAAGCATGGAGCAGCCCCACTTGCTTTTGATCCTGTGTGGTTGTAGACATCTACTTTGCTTTAAAGCCCGGGTTCTTTCTCAAACAGACGTAGGAGTTGGAGGATCTGGTGGAACAACAATCTCAGAGTGTCAGTTTGTTGCTTGACTGACAGAACTTGTTGCTCGGTGGTTGTGCAGAAGGGCCCGATTGCAAAATAGTGTCCTGATTCCATAAGCTTGACAGCTTCTGCACAATGATGTGGTGACGTCTCTTTGCGGAAAGAACTTCTAACGCAAGGACTTCAAGAATCAGGAAAACGAGCTTTATCTGCTTGTTGGGGTCAGCATGTGGCTTCCCCTGTCCCACATAGAAGTGATTGAACAGGAATGAACAGGAGAGTGGATTGCAATCGGTGGAAGTTTCCTGCAAGCACAGAGATCTGTCTTCTTTTCAAGCACAAATTGAACTGTTACAAAGTAAACGCACAGCACTGCGTGTTCTGCCACAACGTGGCGGCCTGTCGGGCTCCAGCCACTTGCTGATTGCACCATGTGAGCTTCATCAACCAGGTCCCGAATCAAAAGTCAAACATGAAGCTGCCAGGTTGACAAGATGTGCAGGCATAGCTAGTTGTTTGACAGATTTTGTCTCCTTCCACTTACCAGGTCATCTGCTCCCTTGGCCTCTGGTGCCTGCAAGGCAACTCCTTACCCCCATGCCTAGTTGCCCCGCACATGTCAGGCCTTGTCATGGCTCTGGTACGCGCCATCGACAACCCCTGGGGCTCCGTGACCTGCGTTTACAAGGCCCAGCTTTTGACTGCGAAACTGGTGCGACAGGTGCCCGCCGAAATGGAGGCGTATGCCAGTGTCTGGGGCCCTAAACTTGCTGGGACGCTTTTGAGCGAGGTCAAGCGGGTCAGAGAAACGGGAGATGAAGTTTTGCGGGAGGCGCAGGCGATCCTGTTGCAATCAGAACAGAGCTTGTCCGAAGTAAGTCCCAAAGTTGCAGGTTCCCATGGGCTCTCTTGCATCCAACATGTCCACCTCACATTTGAAAGCCCCTCGCTTCAAAAATTTGTCTGAGGTCGTGGAATGTTTCTTTGTAGCACAAACTTGACTCTGTCAGATGCCATTGGGCAACGGCCAACTTGAAACGGTCAGTTATATGGATTCCACAGTTGGGGAGCAAATTCACAAGCTAAAACAAACAAAGCTTTGTGTTCTTCTGGACAGGCGATCACAGCGAACGTCAATCCCCAGTATCTCGCCAGAATCTTGGCGCTGGCGAGAGCCGCGGGGACGGAGCAGGCAGCCTTGACGGCGTGGTCTTGGCAAGTGCGCCTCAGCGGGGAGCTCTTGATCACCAAGGTAAGAAGACTTCGAGCTTGTCAGCCTTTCATATGCGCCGCCCAAGAACATTTCGCAGTTCAGTCCTTGCGTTCAGTCCTTTCATCACTGTGAATCAGGAGCTGGAGTAACACTGCTTTTCAAGATCGAGTCATTCAATAAAGCCCGGTTTGTCCAGATCAAGGTGGTCTTGAACTTAACCTCAGATGTGGTACTAAAGCGCCCTCAAAGGTCCAGCTTTCCAGACCAAAAGTGGGGTAGGGTTCTGTGAAAAGGATCTTAGAAGACATTACGATCTGTTGTGCATCAGAGGGACCCAAGTGGGTCGCATTTCCCACATCGAAGGCAGGTCACAAACTCGCTGTCTCATCTCGCTTTCATTCATAGCGATATGAGTCCCATTCAACTGGGGCGATCTTGAGTCCAACTGAAGTACCTTTCCTACCCTTCCATCCAGATTGACCATAGTATCAGTATTCAGTAATTGCGTTCATGCGACATCCCATCGAAACCGCTCAGATACATCCCTGCTTGGGTGGTTTCGCAGGTGGTGTCTCTGAAGATTCTGAAGATTTACAATCTGCACTCGATTGGGGCTTGATTTAGTACTCACAATGTTTTATCGTATGCTGTCTATCAACGTAAATTGTTCACCTCGAAGTACGATCGTTAAAGGTAGATCCAGACCCATCTTCACTTGCTTGCCATGCATAACTTGTATGTTGAACCATTTTTATCTTAACCTCTGCTCTTTATGGAGCGGCGAATTGTGGTCAATACTCGAAAGTGTTCCATTTTTTCCGAAGTTTTTATTCTACAGGTCAACGCTCCCGAAGCGAGATCTTTTCAACACGACCTTCCGGTCTGTGCTCTTGGAAAGCGCCATTTTCCAAACCGTCCCGATTGTTACCTCCCCGTCATCAGGAAAAGTGCAACCCGTTTCCTCTGCTTCAAGATCTTCAGAAAGTCACTAACTTGGCGGGAATTAAGCTTTCACACGACTAGCTACTGCTGCTAGTGGTTTGCAGGATAAGTCTTTGTTCATCTAGAACCAACTCAGAAAATCAGCTTGTCTCCCAATCCGCAGGACATGCTCATCAACAAGTTGCTCCCAGTCCTGGAGTGCACCTTCGGCAGCGCCCTCCCCGCAGTGCGTGAGGCCTCGTTTACCGCGTGGCGCGCGCTCATCGACGTGCTGACGCAGCCTTACGTCAGCACCAGCAGGGACGCCCAGAACAGCCCCCCTAGCAAGGCCGGCGCCGGGGTCAAGAGCCCAGTCACACCGAAAGCGAGAGAAGGTGAGCGCTGTACAATTCTCTGCGTCAAACTTGCCGTTGCAGCGTCGAATGACACTTGTTGGTTCACGATCCTGAACCTACGAGCTAGTCCGGTTCCTGATCTTGGAAGCCTGCAGTAGGATGACATCATCAAGGCGAACAGCGCAAACGGGTAGTGTCAACGGTTTTCGTAACATTCGTCAAGCTGACGTCAAATTTGCCACAGGCTTCCATCAGGAACTGGACTTGGAGTTCAAATCCGGATATCGACGAGTTTCAAATGACAGTGCGATGGCAAGTTTGATGCAAAAAGCTGTAATTGAAGTTTATAAAGCCTCCCGTTATATAAAGCATTTGCAATCTGGTGGTTTCCACAGGAAGAACTCCAGCAGGGGTCAAACCTTGATGTGTCCATCTCAGCGATCCAGCAATTCCGACGAGACTAAAACAAACCGCCCTTCCCATACCTAGGCGCCTCATGCTTGTACGACTTTGCCTCCTGATTAGATGCATGCTTGGAATCGTTTTACTACCTTTCCCTTGGTCTTCTCTCAGGAGGCCACGTGGCACCCTCTGTGCGGCGCCTGAAGCTGCTGATGACCCCGCTGCTGGCCAACCTGGGGCAGGAGTCCGAGGCACAGGTAGGTACCGCTTCTCAGGCGGAACGCACAATTTCGAATTGGCCGACGGACCTTTGACGAGGCTGTCGCCATCGTCCATCTTGTCAACCTTAACAGATTGTCAACTCAACCGATTAGCTGTTTCCAGCCTTGGAAGGGGGGCTTAAGGGTAAGACTCTGGTGTGGTCGCCGATAGCTGACGCCCGAATGCACTTTCAGACGGGTTCATGAGGTGAAGATCGGACGGCTGTGGCAACGTTTCGGCTATCTGAGAATTGTGCGCTCCGCCTGTTCTCGGCCCAGTCGCATTCGTCCATCAGCCCCAGCTTTGCGAATCAGTCTTTCAGGGAGCTCGGGTTCTTGGGGTTTTGGGTTACGTGGCAAGACTTCTGGTCAGATGGTCAATCCCGCTATGGGTTCAAGGCTGCCCATTCATTTTCTTATCAAACGACTCTGCAGGCTATGACACCCATCTGGCCTCTGATCGTTGGTGTAGGATATTGCTCACTTCCCTAGGCTTTCCGTGATAGTGGACAATAAATCACAATCAAGAGAGTTTCTTTGAGTATGTAAACATTCGGCGTTTTTCTCTGGTCGAAGGCTTGTTCCAATACTCACATGACGGACACCCTTTCGCAGGTCCGGCTTGTGTGCATCCGCACCTGGGAGTACCTCCTCAGACGTCTCGCACATTGGCTCAAATCGTCCTCCGTCTTCCAGCTCATCGCTCAACCAGTGTACAGTGTAATCCTTGCCCAACCCGGCACCCCCAAAGCGGCGCAGGAGAAAGATCCAGCTCTGTACCGCAATGTTCTCGGACAGTTTCTCGCGTTTCTGGGGGTTCCTCACTCGGAAACAAAGCCATTAAGTACGAACAGTCCAGGAAGAGCTGCTGAGCAGACGGGAGACGCTCGCGGCGGCGAGGAAGCTCTAGAGGTTCCGTGGGACTTGAAGCAGGTTGGCGCCCTCCTAGACATTCTGGGGCTGGTGCGGGAGCAAGCCGTCCTCGACGGGTCGATCACCGCTCTAGAGGTTCCCCAGGCTGCGAAGGCCCAGGAAGGAAGGCTAGAAAGTTCCGGCGTTCGCTCCCCGGCCTCGCCACTGCTGCCGCCAGCCATCTCGGGTGCGGCGGTCGATGCATCAGGGCCTAAGGGCCTGGCCGGAAAGCGCGTCGGCGCCCCAGGGCCGGTCACGAACAAGGGACACGTGTCAGCCACGGACGAGGGACACGTGTCAGCAGGAGAGGCCCTGTTGAGCGGGTGGGTCGCGCTTGTGAAGGGCGTCGCGCGGGCGGGCCGCAAACAAATGCGGCCGTCTGAGGAGCACGTTGCGGCGGTTCGCGGTCTCATCACTTTCGCAGCGGAGACAATGTCGCGCGTCGGGAGGGCTGGTGGCCAACCCGTTCCTGCAACGTGGCAGCTCGTGAGGGTTCTAATGAACGAGCTGACGTCGATTGTGCTCGCGTCAGTGTCGTACGGCCTCCCATTGCCCGACGGATTCGTTTCAGGGGGGGGCCAGAAGGCACAGAGTCCGGACGTTTCTACCCCCGGGGCGAGCAAGGTCGGGGCGGCGGAGCTATTCACACCGGCGGCGTTCCTTCTGGCCGTAACACTTGCAAACGGAAGTCCGCCCCAGGAAGCGATTCAGGAACCAGTTCAGCCGGGTCACGAAGAGCTTAAGCCTGCTTACGAGCGTGTTCAGACGTTTGTGGAGCGGGTTAAGGGGCCGGTTAGCGAGCTGGTCGAGCTCAGCTGCGGACGCTTGGACATCCTGGGCGGCGCGCTGCGGCTCGTCCGCGTCTTGGAGATTCTGGCGGGCCTTCCGGGGTCCCAAAGTCCGGCTTCCGCGCCCCCGCCCAGGACCGCTGACGTCATGCTGATGCTGACGTGGCAGGAAGTCGCGAAGCAGGTGACGCGCTTCGTGGTCCGTTCGAACGACGTCCCGATCGCACAGAAGGGCGCGGCCGGCCAGGCCGTCTTTGGCGTGCTGCTACTGCCGCTGAGGGTTTTGGGAGTTGGAGGGTTAACGCGCGGGTTAGGAGGGGGGTTCCTCACGACGGAGGGTTTGGATGCGGCGCTGCGTGAATGGGCGCTACTGTGGGAGGCGGCTTACCGGGTTACCCAGCTGAAGAATCTGCAGGTGCGTATTTAGCTGTTAGAGACTCCGTTGTTTTTAAATCGCTCGCGTCCTCCAAACTCTCCCGCTCCGCGCGAAGTTGGCTTGAGCGTGCTCGATTCCGCTCGGTGCGTAGGCGACGTTTTGCCAGCACTTCAATCGCTACACACATTGGCAGAGGCCACACGCAGCCCGTGTTCGTTTGGGACCAGTCACGAACCCGGAAGCCCAGGTTTTGCTTGCAGTTGAATCTCAAGGACAGTCGTCACTCGCAAGTCCAAAGATTGCAGCCTCTCCAAACCAAACGGCTGTGTCTTCCCATCTGTATCTCAGCTTTGATCCCATGTGGCCTGCTCTTCATTTGCTCTTTTTAATCCTGTTCTAACCCTCGGAGTTCGCAGCTGCCCTTCTTGCCAGGAACTCAGTCCGCTTCTTTCTGCATGCGAAGGGCCGACCGATAGGTTCCTCTGTTTTCAGCGCGCCCCTTAAGCTTTTTCGTCTCGGTCCACCATTAATCTTTTGCCCTTCCAAATCTTTCTTAAGTGAAGAGCTACTTCAGTCCCCATAGGGGCCTTCGCTTGGTAATCCCTTGATCAGAACCTGTTTCCCTACCATTCTTCTTTCGCCCTTGAAACGTGTTTCCAAGCGAAGGGCTACTCCGACGCGGGTCTTTCGCTTCGTAACCCCTATACTTGAAATCTGTTTCCTCACCATTGTTCTTTCGCTGCAGTCCAACCTGCTGTTCCACGGTTTCTGCAGCCGACTGCTGCGCGTCGTCCGGTCCGACCTCCGAACCGAAGCTTCGCTCCCAGGCAAGCCCTTTATTTCTTGAAAGTTGTTCCTGAGTTCTCTTTCTTTTCTTCTTTTTGTTTTGGTTGGTTTCCAACCAATTTCATCTTCGCTAAAGGCCATGTTGTTCTCCAGATCGCCCAGAAAAGGGTAGGGTGGTGTTGAGTGTGCTTTTGCATTGAAATTTTGAAAACTGTTCCTGCCCTGTATCACAGTCGTTTTCAAGGATGCTGGATTTGAGAATCATAAGCTTGTGTGCCCTTGTCGCTCGTCAAATGACGCATGCAGCAAGATTTGGCCAAGCGACATTGTGAAGCTCACCGTGGCCGACCCCCCCCGGGCGTGCTCGTAGAACTGTTTGGCACGCAGTCTCTACAATTTTAAGAGGAGGCATGCAAGACTTCCCGGATAGTAGTCTCTGTAGGTGCTGCGGGCTGCGCGTCTTCTGTACCTGCTTTCATCCTTCTTGTCTCGGGCTCCTTCAACCCTCATCCAAGATGATGTTTTTGACGAAGTGTTTGATAGTTCCGGCAAAGATGAGAAGCCAAGTATACCGTCGAAGTCCGCAAAGTTTGCACCTAATGCAACGCAGACGGGCCTTCGGAACATCTCGGGTGCGAGGCTAAGGTGCCTTGTATTATCTTTCCCCCGAAGCTTCGACCTAGCAAATGGTTCTTAGTCCAGGGTCTTGCAGACCGCCCGTACTCACCATACTTTTTGCACTTTGTCCGCAGCGCTCTTCAGTCAGGCGCTGTCAGCCTGCCTCTCCACCCTAGTTTCCCACCTGGAAATCGCGTCCCCCTCCTCCCTCGCCATGTCAAAAAAACGCCGCCGCGTCAGCAGCGCTCCTCTCAACGGCACCCCCCCAAAAGACGCCCTTTTCTTCCTCGGAAAAACCCTAGACGACCAAAACGGAGTCCAAGACCTCGCCGCAATCCTCGGACACGCCCTCCAGGTGGCAGCCGCACATTGGGCGGTGCATGAGAGTGACGTCAGCGGGCTGATGTCGGTGCTGACGTCACTTCTCGGGAAGCTGTCGGCCCAGGCCGACGTCCTTTTGGTGCTGCAGCCGCAGCTGTCGCCCGTCGCGGACTGGTTAGCGCTGACCCACTCGTGGAAACCCCCGCCCGTGTCTGGGTCGCAGGCCCCGGACTCCCAACCAACGCAAGACGTTCACCCGGTTCTAATGTCCTTAACCGCCCTCTGGAACCACCTGCTAACCGCGCTCGAGAAGTGCCACCCGCGGCTGGAGTTTGACTCCCAAACCCTCCTAACCCTGAGCCCCCTTCTCGAGCACTCCATGGCCCATTCACACCAGCCCATCGCTAACCGCGCGCTTTCCTTCTGGGAGAGCACGTTTGCAAAGCCGGGCGGCAGTGGAACGCCGCGAACTGAGGAATCGATCAGGGGTAGTCACGCTAAGGTTAGCCAGGGTCGGAGCCAAACCCAGGGCGTCGCGGGGGAGCTTATTTACCCTGCGGAACTGGTGCCCATTCTCACCCGCCTCCGGAGCAAGGTGGATATCACTTTGCCGGGCTGGAACGCCCCCGACCTGGCGGCCCTGCAGGACGATGTGAAAAGGCCCCAGGAAGGGAGATCCGCCCTTGAGCAATCAGAACAGGGCAGCGGAAAGTGGTCACATCCTTACCAAGGAGACAGATCAGCGATGGGGTTGAACAGAAACGGAGGAGCGGTTAGGAGCAGTGGCGTCGGTTACCAGGGGGGGTTGCTGCCGAGCACCGTACGCCCTTTAGGCGCGGAGCTCAAGGGCTGCCGTGCGGCAGCCGCCGGAGACGGGTCGAAGGCCGCGGAAACTAGAGCGGAGGGTTTGGGAACCGGAGGGGCCAAGTGTTCGGAGGGTGTACCTGGCTTGGGGCAAGGCGCGGCCCTAGAGCCTGCCAAGGATCCGAACGAGCTTCGGACGTACAACACGAATGCGGGGGCTGCTGGCGTCACTTCGACGGCCGGTGACGGTTCTGTGGCCACGGCAGCTTCGGAGCAGGTTGCACGCCAATCAGGCGACCTCATTGCGGCCCCGGAAGGCGAGGTGGTCGCCCCTGCGGCGATCGGAAGCGGTATCCCGATCCCGCAGGGAGAGAGCGAGGCAGGAAAGGTCCTGAGCCCTTCTCGAGAACCGAGGCGCGATTTGAACGTTGCTATAGTTCCGCCAGTTGAGCGGGAGTGCGACACTGCGGATGCCGGCGGAAAGTCCGCAAACGACAAGCGGACGCCCAAAAGGGAAGACCAGTCGAGTGAATCCGGAAAGAGAACGGGAGAAGCGCGAGATCCGGCGCCGGAAGCCGGAAACCGGAGCTCCGGAACTGTGACACGGCCCACGGAGGGCGGGTCGGAATCCGCTACAAAGCTTGAGGTTGGCGGAGCAGGGGACAAGCGGCGGAAGTCCGAAGGAGCGGAACGGACGCCGGAAAGGGAACGCACAAGACTGGCGGTAGCGGGGCGACCGGGCAGTGCGGAAGCGGCTGGGAAGAAGCGCCGGAAGCTGGGGTTTTTGGAGGACACACAGGATGGAGACTTTGTGGCGATTCCGTTTTCTCCAGTGAGTGCATTCTCGGCGGCCAATTGATTCCGTGTCCTTAACGCTGGAAGCAAGTATAGTATTTGAAGGTTCTGCTGAATGTGCCGTGAAAGCAAACACGGAAGTCTCCCTTGAAGGTTTGCTGAATGTGTTTTGCGCTTCCTTTGAAGGTGTTGCAATCACGGTTTGCTTTTTTGCTGGTGTTCATGTTGAACGTAAGAGCGGAGAGAAACTTCTTATGAACAGAAAAGAGACGCTCATTTTCCCGTCCTATTCAAGGGGACAAACCATTCTTACGGGACTTTCCTACCGCCAAAATCAATGGCCGGGCTCAAAGAAAGAGTTTAGGAAGAAAGCAACAGCCGGAAAGCTCTCAGTGCGCCCCTTTCAGCGTCTGAGTAAGAGAAGCTCTCACTGTGCTCGTTGTCTCCGCAGAAGCGTCACAAGGGCCCCTTGACGGAGCGCCAGAGGGAGGCCCGCGCGGAGCAGCAGCAGCAGCGGCGGGGCGTCAGTACGTACACCAATCTGGACGCCAGCCAGGCGCCCTGGGCGTCCGAAACGCAGGACGAGGAGGAGCCGCCCGTGCAACTAGGGGTGGCGGAAAAGGCGTCGTCGGTCTTCGGGGGTGAGGAAGCGCGGACGGGGTTCGAGAGCCTTCCGACTGGGGCAGGGGTGTCTGGGGCGGCGTTGATCAGGGGGGGGGTGGATATGGATCCAGAAGATGCCGGGGGGAGAGGGGCTGGAAATGAGAATGGTGACGGCCCGACTGCGCTCCGGGGGGTAGTCATTGGTGGGGAGAAGGGGGGGGACGACGAGATGGAGATAGATGGGGAGGAAGCAAAAGAGGCGAGCAGCAGTGAGGACATGCCTAGGGAGGAGAAGGTCCCTTTTTTTGGCGCGGGTGGGGTTCCCGTTAGGGGGGGCTCCACCGATCAACGGGGTGAGCATTTGGGGAGCGACAAAAGTGGGGAGACGAAAAAGGAGCTCGATCGTGAGCCGGCAGTAGGTTTTCAAGTGGAAACGGACGGAGCGGAACACACCGGGACGCCGAAAGCTGACGTCAAAGCGACCGCTGGGCCGTCAGGTAGGCGCGGAGGGTCGCCCAAAGTGGACGAAGCGAGCGGTGTGCAGCCAGGAGTGCCGGCCAGTGACGACCCGACACGTGTCGAGAAGAAAGCGGGCGAGCAGGACGACGGGGGCTGTGCGGTAGCGGTTGGGGTGCAGACGGTTGAGCAGAGGCCCCCGAGTCCGGAAAAGCTCTTCAGACTCTCGAACGAGGGTCCGGTCCGGGGCTCAGGAAACGGAGGAACCGATCAGAACAGAGCGGAACGGAATGTCGAGGACAGGTCTCTTGCTGTGGCCGAAGCCGCCAATGCTGAGGCTCCGCAAATATCAGTTCGCGGAAGCGAAGGCGAGGTCCCGCAGATCCGGCCTTTCGAGAGCACAGCGGTTCTTTCTGCTCCAGTTGAAACGAGAAAAGGGGCCGCTCCGACTGTGGCAGGGACTACTGACAGGGGGCTCGGGAACGGCTCGGTTAAGGAGGGGGTTGCTACCGGGGCGCTTCCGGCTGAAAACGCACCGCTTGAAAGGGAGGACGGAAACGTTCCGGCGTCCGAAGCGGAACGGTCCGAAACGCTGCCCCTGCCGGAGACCCAGGAGGAAACCCCGGACGAGGTGCGGCAACTAGAGCGAGCCGGCGACGCTGGTGCTGAGAAAGCCCTGAAACCCTCAGCCTTGCCACCGGGCGAAGAGGGCCCGGTGGCATGCGCCGGGGTGATTCAGGATTCGGCTGCAGGGAAGGCGCTTGAAACGGGGGCAAACATGACTAGTTCTAAAAAGGGGGTCATTATAGATACACCCGCAATTGAGACGGTGCCCAAGACACAGCCCGGGGCTCCGCAAACCCCGCTCATTAACCCGGCCATTTCAGCACCGGGGGAACAGCCAGCGCCGGTGCCAACAGCGACCGCTTCCCCTCCTGACGCCCAAACCCCGGGTTACCGAGTAAGCTCTACCGGATTACCGAGCGCCCTTCCGAGCGCTGGCCCGACCCCCCAAGCAACACTCAACCCGGTTTCAGAAGCGCTCCCCGACCCGCTTCCCGGACCAGCCCCTAACCCGAGCGCCAACCCGAGCGCCAACAAAGCCCAAGAAGCGGGCCCTAACGAGGACTCCATTCGCGCCATAAACCCGGCAGTTAAGCAGACCCTTAACCCGGCCACGGAACCCCCGGTTAGCGGCCCGGTTTTCCCGGAGCTGGTGACGAGCGACGCACCGGTGAAGAACGTGCTGAGTAACCTGCCCCGGTCGGCGAGGCAGGTGCTGCTGGCGGGGGCGGTGCGCACGGTGGGCGACTTGGCAGGGATGGACTGCGGGGAGCTCCGCAAGAGAATGCCAATCAGAGGTACGCAAAGCTTGCATTCAGGTTGCGCCACGTGGCAGCCCTCCTAGCGTTATTGACTGCCCACTTTCTTGAACATAGACCTGCAACCGAAGAATGACGCAAAAGAGGAGATGCACTGCGATTGGAGGGTTCGTGCATGCAGTAGTTCATCCATGTTCCAAGGCCGCTTTACTGGGCACGTCAATTCCGATATTTCGCCCAGGGTTCTGCAGGAAAGAGGCCGTTCCGGCCGCGTGTCCCGTTCCGCTTTTGACCTGGTCGCTCCCTGTCTCGTTCGTTTTCCTTCAGGCTTCTCAACTGTTTCGTTGTTAGGGACTTCAAGTGTCTGAGCACCCTAACTTGGATTGCGCTTAGGGTGAAGCTTTGATCAGATCCCGATCTTGGTTTTAACAACCAGAATTAGCCCAGAAACTCTCGGATCATCTAAAAAGAACATCTGGCGAACTCTACTCCTCACGAATCAAGCTCGTAGACTTTCCGGGGCCGTTTCCGTTTCTTTTTCCATTGCCGCTTCCGTTCCAATCTCCCTTCTTTCTGCTCACCCGTTCTACCTGAGCAGATGTCTTCAACAAGCATTGTTTCTTAGACCGACATGTATTGGCTAGCAATCAACCAAAGATCGCGAAAGACAGATCAACAATGATTCGTGCTCACTCTTTCCTATCGCATTCCCCACAGCCGCAGTCCAGACCGTGCGCAACGCCCTGCGTGCGTTCCGCGACCGCGAGGAGCGCCGGCGCGCCAACAGCCAGGAAAGCCCGGTCGTCTCGCAGACGCCCACGGACGCCGATGACGCTCCGCAGCCGTCCGATTCGGACGCCCGGATCGACGGCCTAGGTGGCCGCTCGCACAAGATCGACGGTCAGGACGATCCTGACGGGCAGAAGAGTTCCCTTCCGGTAAAAGATGAGGGTCCGGCGGAACCGGAAGTGAGGGTCGCGGAGACTCAGGAGTCAGTGCGCTCTTCGCTGAGAGCGTCGCGGAAGAGAAGTGTACGGGATGGGTTTGATTCCGCCCCTGAGGAAGCGACTGGCGAGGAGAGGGGAGAAGGGCAGAGAGAAGGCACGCCGTTGGAAGGGATGGAAATGAAGGTTGAGTCTAGGGGGGTGGATCTTGCACGCGGAAGCGATCCGCCCACAGGGGTAGAGAACGGGGAGTCTGGAGACGGTGAGCGGAAGAAGCGGTGCCTTGGGCCGAAAGTCGAGCCCATTCCTGAAGCAGCCGCGAGTGGCGGAAAACCGATGGTAACGCAGGACGAGACTGGTCGGGAAGCGGCCAGCAAAGCCAGGCAGCAGGACGGAATTCCAGGGGGGGGCGGAAGAGAGCGGAATTTGGACATTGGTGGTGGGAACATTGTGACTGGGAGTAGATTGGACGGCGCAGGAACGAAGGTTCCGGCGGAAGGAGACTCCGGGGCGATTCTACCGGAACAGGCACCGGTCCGTCCTTGCGCCCGTTCCGCCCTTCGGTTGGCGGGGATCGCGCGCGGGGAAGAGGAGCCGACTGAGAATGCTACGATCGGGGGAAAGGAGGTAACGAACGGGCTCGGGAGCGAGCCGAGGAAACTAGGGCTGGGAGGAATTGGCGAAGTAGCTGCTCCGTTGGACCCGGGGAATGCGGCCGGGGCCCCTGTGCAGGGGGAGTGTTCCAGGAGTCAGGGGGCTCCGGGGACCGACAGCCGAGAGGTGGCAATCGTTGCAAATGCCGACGGCTCACCGGAGCGCCAGCGAGACGCGCAACTCGGCATTGTCAGCCGCAGCGTTGCGGGAACAGCTTTGGGAAATAGGGTCAGCGAGAGGGAGCCGGTAGCGCTGGCAGATAAGGTGCAACAGCTGCTGATGGATCCAGAGTGGGATGCTTTGGATGTTGTGGGTCTTGTGGAGGCGCAGCTGTTCGTGTCGGATCTGGGTAGTAAGATAGCCGCGTGCCTCAGGGCGCGGGCTCCAGACCACTTTTCTAAGAAATAAACGTCCCTACAGTTTTATGAGCGTTTGCTGTAGACCTTTTTAACTCGCTGGCGGCATGCTTGGCTAGCCAGCTAGAGTGTGGACAAGCAAAGACTTGGAAGAAGGGAGTCGGTCAGAGGTTCCAATCATTGGTTCGTCCTTGCCTTCAACTTGGAAGAGAGGTGTACATGTGGTCCTTTGTGGTTCACTTGTGGCGTACGGATGACCTAGGCAATGCCTTGCTACAATTATGCGGGTCGGCGCGCTGGGCGGTAATCAATCTGAACGCATATACCATTAAAATAGTGATGTCCATTCAGTATCTCTTTGTTTGATCATGTCAGTATCCGGAAATAATCCTTGTCCATACTCGCTATGTAATCAAAGTACGCGAAACTGTGGCCGCCCGCCGGGCCGTGCGCGGCGCATCATTCTTTTACTGGCGCGGCAGCCATACTGGCACCCAGCGACCGCGGCCACCCGAATTGGCTATGCTGGCACTGCAATAACAATGCAGTACGTACGGCCGCGTCACACGGCGTGACGCGTGCCAACGTACAAGAACGGCACCATTCATTAACTAGATCACATGCATATGCAATGGGCTTAAGCAAACCGGAGCGTGATCTGTTCCGGCCACTCATGTATGCATGGCCGATGCAATATTGCTGCGCGCTTAAGCTAGCTTGCGTCACCATAGTGCTCTGTCGAATGATCCGCCAGCGCGGCCGCATCAAGGCATCCAGCCGCCTTATATGCCGCGCATATTAAATCATTGCGAATCACATCAACGGCCCATGCAGCGGGATGTATACATGAGCCCTGTGCCAGAATCTGGGTTCCTGTAAACGAATGCCAGGCTGCACGCACATTGGTCATGTACTGAGCGCTTTCCCAAGCTGCATGTGCAACCGATCACTGTCAGAGTGCACATGCCATGTACCTTAAGCCGCCTGACATACAGCTGTCTTCAAACCCAGTCAAACCCTGTCGTAATCCTTCTAGAACCCATCATTTGTCAACAGCTTAACCACCGCCGCAACCACGCCCCGGCTCGTCACATCCATCTCAGGGTTTTCTAGCTTATCTGCGAGCAGTCTGTCTAGCTGATTCCGCAGTTCTCGGATGAGAACGGCGATCTTGGCCGGCGCCTCAAAGCGCATCCAATTATCGATGGCAATGCTCTGCTTCTCGTGGGCGACGGAAATGTCGCCGCCGAAAAGGAGGAGCGCGTATGCGGGGACCATGCTGCTCTCACGGATGAAGATCTGCAGACGACGAGAGCGCCGCGTCTTTTAAGTCCACGTCTAGTTGCCATCCGCACCGAACCAGTCATCGGCGCACTTGAGGGCCCCGCCTTGATTGCCCACACCGATATCGTTAAAAATGCGACTTCTAAACAGTATTCAGGCCGGGTAGGGTCAGATACGGACGTGCAGCTTGAGGAGACGGACTGTAATGCTTTCGCCTCTCGCTGTGCACAAACCAGAGGCTGAAGAGATGCGCGTTCTCTGGGTCCTTATAACGAAGAACCATCCAAGGAACCAGGCATCCACTGCTCAAAACAGCTTCGTCTCCTTCAGCTTCAGATTGTTAGCGAGTCTCGTCTTGCCGTCCAAAAACCTACTCCGTTGCTGCTCACTTCCACCTTCGACGTTGCTCACTTTGCGTCGCACACGGTTTCCAGCTTCATCAGACACTTGGAGGATTAGACACGCTAAAAGAAAAGCGTGACGTCTCAATGCAGGTGGGGAACCGTGAAAACGAAACAATCTTTGTGGCAGACATGAAAGTGGCAAAAACCGGCAGAAATCGCCGGAAAACAATACAACTGCAGAAAATTGATATTGACGTCGATGCTGGTGCTAATTGGAAAAAACAATCAAAAGTCAATATCTGCACCAAGGCGGTGCGTGTAAGGAATGTCTCTACGTTTTTGTTTCAGCCCGCGCACCTTGGACGTCTTGACTTTTTCGCTGTAAACGAGCCAGGGGCTCTCGAAGCGGCCGACCGCGAAGTTGGTGCTAGCGGGATGCAGAAACACGCGCCCATCGTGCTGCGTGTAGAAGCGCACCTCGCGCGCATGCGCGTCCTTGGCCATCGCGCCGCCGCTCGTCTCCTTGTACGTCTGCTCCGGCAACTGCAAAACGGGGGAGACGCCCTTTTAGAATGTGTGCTTTCGGCTGTCAGAAAAAGCGGAACCGAATGAACTGATTGTCACGACAGCTACCGGGTTTCTAAACGCTGTCAAGGGTTTTCGATGGACTTATGAGACAAAGGATACAAACGTGGAACAGAACGAGAAAGAAGAGCGCTCGTCTCCTTGAACGTCTGCTCCTTGAGCGTCTGCTCCGGCGCGAGAGGAAAGTCGTTTCAGAACGTGTCTTTCCAGGCGTTTGCACAGAGAATCCGGATGGACTCATACTAAAACCGGTTACCGGGCTTCTCAAATGTATTAATCTTCTATTACGGACTCATGACGAAACAGAGAGTACAAGCGTGAGACAGGAGCGAAAAACAGGAGCGCTCGGTGTCCTGTACGTCTGCTCCGGCAAGTGCGCACGGTGGAGACGCCTGTCGAACGCGCGTTTCGAGCTATTAGCACGGAGGTTTCGAGACATTTGCTTCTTAGAAGCACTACCGGGTTTCCGGAGTCGCCGAAGCCGACACGGATGTGTGACGACAGAAAGTAGATGCTTGAAAGCTAAGCGTTCGACGGACGCCTAGCAAGACGACTTCAGCGTTACTCTACACAGGTCACCAATCTGCACACCCGCCAGATTTTAAAGCTGAAGCGTTTCGCGCCCACTGCTGATGGACAGCCGTTAGAAGACCTGGATTTGACAAACAAACTTCAACCTCAGTACGCGCATTTTTACCACCTGCAACTGCCAAGCTTTCCACAGGTTCCTGCGTCTGTCAGAACCCTCGAGACTTGAAGCCAGTCGAAGACCTCCACATGCCCAACCTCTGGGGGAAAAACCGCATCAGCAAGGACCAACCCTTAAATGTCAAAACTTATTATATCTTATTATAGATGTAATTCCAATAAAACCTGAACGAGTTCCTACCTGCACTCGAACAACGTTTGGATAGAACCCCGCGCACAGCACCGCCTTCACCACCCGGAAGTTGAGCGCATTCACATCGGGGTCCGGCTGCCCCGGTTGCACAAAGTCCCGGGCAAAGCCCCGGGGGATAAAGCCCAGATCGGCCAGGTTTTCCAGGTAGTCCGCGCGGCTGGCCTCGATGGATTGGAGCGACTCGCGGGACAAGAAGTTGGCCTGTCATGGAGCAACCGGAAGATTCAAAACCAGTGGTTATCTTAACACTTTGTGTTGCCTGGAGAGCTTTGTTCTCCTAAAGTTGACATAATGCACAGTCATTTGGAAATCCGTTGCCTTCCGGGACATTGTGAAAGTTTTGCGGCAATAGTGGACTGAAGCGACACACGGGACAAGAAGTTGGCCTGCGAAGAGAGGAAAATGGGAACTGGAAATTAGAGCATCATTCCCGCTTTCTCACGTTTTTGTGTTGCTGTTGGTGATTTCAGTTTCCACCAACGTGACATTTCTACACAGCGAGTGGCTACTTCCATCATCGAGGTTGTATCGAACTTTGTAGCAATCTGAGGTTATTCGCAGAGTCACGGGAAGCATTCGCTGCATTGGCGAGGTCGACGAGACAACAGCTGCAAAAGCGGTCAGAAACGACAAAGCATTTCTTCCCGTGGCAGCTTTGGAACATGCGCAACAGCAAACAGTTCAAACCCAATTACTAACCTGGCAAAACTCCTGCTGTGCTCTCCACCCCCCGTCTCTCCCGGCGGCCCGCCAGCCCTCAAACGCTGCCACAGCCGCCAAATGGTCGCTCTTCCAGGTCCCCGCTAACTGGCGCTTAACCCGGTCCGCCTCGTCCCTAATCTCCGGCGGAACCGCCGCGAACGGCGACTTCCCGGCAAGCGCCGCGGCGATCGTGGCCGCCGGGCCGGGGCATCCCAAAACCGCGCCGAAGACGAGCATCTTTCCCGCGCGCACGTCGACGGGAATGCGCGCCAGGTGGCGCCCGAGCGGCGTCAAGGTTTCGGGGTTTTGGGCGAGCGCGCGGAGGGAGGTGAGGGTGGAGAGCGCGGAGGCGACCGCGGAGGGGGAGGGGGGCGTGAGAAGGTCGCCGAGGACGGAGGCGATGGAACGCGCGGGGAGGAGAGACTTGACCTGCAAGGGAGAGTTGCTGGAGTGAGGAGAGGGAAAAACAGAGGAAGATGCGGGTTCCAATTTGCGCAGCCGTCTCCGATACGGAGAAGCCTACTGAGCGGAACTTCTAGGCAACAGATTGCAGGAGAAGTCGCATTCAACCACCTAAAGAGCCGGCGCACTTTTGGCGCCGCTTAAACATCAATATGAGTCCTGCATTCGAAATCTCTGCGTATAGGTTCTTCGAACGTCCTCGACCTTTCCGAAAACCTTCTCTCAAAGATCCCTCTGTCACAGTCGGTTCGCAGCTTTTGTCTCGCTTACCCTCTTTCTCTTCAATAACTTGTACCGCAACTTGTACCCTGCTCACAGCTTCCCGATCGCTCCCGAGAAACATGCAAAACTTTGTCCACTAACTTCACACACTTTCGGATGCATTCGGACGCTGACCTGCAGGCAGAGCTGGTCCAGCGCCGTCCGCAGCACCTCCGGCGCTTGCTGGGGCGCCATGCCCTCGAACGTCCGCCGGGAAAACATGCGGACGCAGCAGCCGGGGCGCGCGCGGCCCGCGCGGCCGCGCCGCTGGCGCGCACTCGCCTGACTCACCCAGACGTCCTGCAGAGGAGGCGATGAGAAGGGCCTTAGTCTCGGCCGGGGACTTTTCAGGAGTTTTCAGGACTCTGGAAAACGACAATGCCTCGTTCGCATCCTATGTGGACGATCCTCCGTTTCCACTTCGCAAGTCAAAAAGCTAGAGGCAGTGGGTGATAGAGGACCTTCTAAGCATCCTGATCATTGTGCAGAGACGGGTTCCGAACGGTCCGAGTACAACAGAACACATGCGGAAAAGTTCAAGAACGACTTTTCGGCATTGCTATGTTCTGAAGGACTAAGGCCGCGCCCGGCAACGAACTCGCGCACCTCGAGGCACGCGAGCGCTCTGTTGGGGTCGAACGCCATCTCGCGCTGGCGCCCGATGTCGATCACGTAGGTGACGTCATCGATCGTCAGACTCGTTTCGGCCACGTTGGTTGACAGCACAATCTGCAGAGAAGCAACTTTGCCAGGTCAGCCATTTTATGAAGAGCCGATGTATGCTCACCACTTCATCAAGGAAAGGACATCTTCCGAAGATGGCCCCATGAACGCCCTGGTGCACTGCTTTCTAGCCGCGCAATCCGAAAGAATAGAGACATACCTCCTGAAAGACGGCGCAAAAACCCTTTTTCCTGGTTAAGGCTCGTGTTTTGTCCTCCTAGCACAGCAGCTGCGTGGCAGCTTCGCAAAGTTTGTCTAGCAAGACAAGACCCCATGCAACCCTGAACCGGCTTCTTCGGGTATCTTTACCCTCATTACTTTTCATCTATCCTCCTTCTTCTCCCCGTCTTCTGCCAAAACCCTCTAACCCCCGCCCTCACCTTTCTCTGCCCCGGGGGCGGTCGGTCGAACACCTTCCGCTGCTGTTCTCCCGCCAGGGAGCCGTGCAAAGGCAGCACCCACGGCCTTCCTCCGCAAATCGCGGCCAGCCGTTGAGATCCCAACAGCTGGCGCTCCAGCCGTCGGATCTCGGCCATGCCCGGGAGGAACACTAGGATGGCGCCCGCTGCCCCGATGGGGTCGGGGGTGCCCGGTGGGAGAGGGGGGAGGAGGGGGGCGTAACTGCGCGACAGAAAGGGCTGGCGTTTCAACTTTGACTTTTGACTGCCGGGTTCAGAGGTTGTCCAACTCATAAGAACAGAGCCATGCCCGACTAATAAAGAACGACGGGAACCGTGTTCGGGTAGGAGTTCCCTACAGAAGAGGAGAGAGGGCCGGAGGGGCGTAACTGCGACACAAGCAGAAGAACTTGTTCGCATGTTACGCTTACGTTTTCTAGGTACTTCAAAGTCTGACAGGCGTATGAAGAGACATGCTTATGTTTGAACGACTTGTCACCTGCCTGCGAGAATGGCAATATCCTACGACGTGATCACTTGAGCTATGAAGGCCGGCTGAAGGCCTGCTCGGCATAGACAAAGTCACGAACATGCAAAACCCATGCGCCTTTTTTCCGCTCTCATGTCGTCAGTCGCCATAAGCCCGTGAAACGAAAGACAACCACACAGCTGCCCAAACGTCCTTGCGCCGGATTCTTCCGTCGTCTACGAGCTTCAGAACTTCTTACAACTGAACCCCACGCGGGGCCCTGACCTCCTCAACCGAAAGCCACCTCGTAAACAAGACCTCTTTGCTTCAGTCAAGGAAGTCGGACATTGATGAGTGAAAAAACGCAAGAAAGTCAAAACCCTCACCTTGTAGAGGGCCGCTGCTCCTCCTCCAGTATCTTGCACACCGCCTTCTCCACCAGCTCGTAATTTAGCACCGTCTCGTCAACCACTTCTAGCGACTTCAGCGTCGCTTCCCGGTACCGCCGCTCGGGCGCCCTTTCTTCCCCCTCTTTCTCCCCTTTTTTTCCCGCTCTTGTTACCTCGCCCTCTCCTCTTTTTCTCCCAAGTGCCCACGACCCCGAAGGTGGATCTCCGGCTGAAGACGCCCGATCCGATGTCTGTGTCTCTTCCCAATCCTCCTCTGATACCGGCGCCCCCTCCGTGTCCCGTGCTTCGTTCGTCGCGTCCTCGTTTTCACCTTCGTCTAGTTCCCAGCTCTCCGCCACTTCCTTAGCTCCCCGCGACGACCCCGGCCGCGCATCGTCCTTCTTCCTCTCCGGTTCCGCCGGCCCCCCAGCGGATTCCGCCCGCTTGTCCGCAGCGCCAGCACGGCTCTCTTGGCCAGCCGCGCTTCTTGCCCCCCCGTCCCGCCCCGCCGCTTTCTTCTTGGCATACCGCGAGCGCGCCCCGATCACTTCCCCGGTCATCTCCAGCACGTCTTCCAGGTACAGCTCGCGCACTGGGTGCGTGAAACCGGGGATGGAAACCACGCTGACGTCAGCCCCGGCTCGTCTCGGACCGTCCGACCGACCGCTTGACTCGTCCGATCGACCACTCCAACCGTTTGGACCGTCCGATCGACTCCTTTGTCCGTCCACACTACTGCGCGAAACGTTAGTTCGACCATCCGGACCGTCCGAACGCCTATTCGAACCGCTCGATCCATTCCAGCCGTCCGATTGACCGTCCAAACGAGCAACACCGTTCAATCCGAAGTAGGCCGCGAGCTCCTCCGCGTCCGCCGTCGCGGACATGAGCACGACCGTCAGATCTTTCCGGACGTCCGAAATGAGCGTCCGGAGCAGGAGCAGCATGAGGTCGCCCTCGACCGTCCGCTCGTGAACCTCGTCCACGATCACGTGGGTTAAGCCGTCCAATCCCGGCTCGCTTTGTAACCGCCGCAGGAGCACCCCAGTCGTGCAGAAGAGCAGCCGCGTGCGCGCCGACCGTTTGCTCTCTAACCGCACGGAGTAACCCACGGTTTCGCCCACCTTTTCCCCGCGCTCCGCGGCGACCCGCTCCGCTAACCCGATCGCGGCGACGCGCCGCGGCTGCGTCACGACGACGTTGCACTCGCCCCCGCAGTTCTTCTCTGTCCACTTTTCCAGAATATACTGTGGAACTTGCGTCGACTTTCCGCAACCGGTCTGACCGCATACGATGGTCACTCTGGGGCGGGTCCGCGGCCCGGCAGGGCCCTCTATAGCCTCCAGCAGCTGGGCTCCCTGTTTAGCTGCGGGCAGCGACTCTCTAGACTGCCTCATCTTGGAAGAGCGTCCCTCACGCAGCCATCTCTGCCAGTGCTGTTTCAGCCTCTCGCTTTCTTTTCGCACGTCACACGGGTTCGGTTCCCGTCTCTGCCTTTGGGGGGGCGCTGTCCCTTGTTTTTGATGCCCCCTGCCCGCTTCCAGTCGGCTGCTTTTGCCTTGCGCCGTATCGTTGCCACCCATCATTTCCGCCGTCGTTCCATTCGCCGTCTCGACGGACCCATCTTTCATCGACAGCGCCCCAACTCCGTCCTCCAGCCATCCCGTCTCGCTACCCCCGGTTTCGAGTGAAGCCATATCTTCGATCGCCCCCTCTACCAACGCCCACAGCATTGGCTCTCCGAGCAGCCCCCCGGCCCTCTTATGCGCCGAAACTGTCAGCCGTTTCAGCCACCCCGGGGGGGCACTTCCGTTCCTAAACGACACAGACGGGGCTTCCGCCGGATATCTCGAATCGACCGGAAACCGGAATTCCACCTTTGTACGTTCCTCGCCCTCCTCCTGGGGGGGCAGCCGCACAGAGAGCCCCCCCGCCAGAGCACCCCCCCGATCCGGGAGTTCCGAGAAGTCGTCCCCGTAAATAGCGGCCAAAGCCACGCGCTCTTCTTGCAGATCCTCTGACGAGCCCCCCGGCGCCCCATTGCTTTCTTCCAAGCCCTCTGCCGCGGAACGAAACAGCTTTTCGTGCAATCCCCTCGAGAGATTACAAAGAGCTGCATCTACATTCCCGCGAGTGAATTCCAACGCTGCCTCCGCTTCTTCTCTTCCAAACCCTCTCTCCATCACTTCCCTACAGCTGGCGCTGATCTCAAACTCAAAGCCCGCTGACCCCGTTTTCCTCGCCCCCCTTCTCAGAACCTCGACGTGCGCCCCAGACGCTTCCGGCCGGAATTGCTTGGGCAGCCGGAACTCCGGAACGTTCAGCACCAGCCAATCCACGAGCCGATTCAAGCTCGCGCCTCTCCCGCATGCGCGCACCGCCCCCGTGACGTCATCCTCGGCGAAGCCCATGGCGAGCAGCCGCCGGGCCGCTTCAGAGGATCCCGCTCCGCTGACCTGAGCGCCGGTCGTTCCGGCGGTGCTAACGTCAGCATCAACCGTTTCCCGCATGGCGGCGAAGTCAGTAGCGAAGGTGTCTGGGGGAGGTCCGGGGGAGGCGTTGCGGATGCTGACGTCATCGACGCCTTGCCAGGTGTCAGCGGGGCCTTGGCTGTCACGGATGAGCCCTTCGACGAGCTGACGGTTGTCCTCGCTCATAAAGACGGACTGGACCGTGCGCTGTAAGAGAGTTGTTCGTTTCTTCGTTGAGCTACGTGAAGTGCTGAGGCTACACGCTGCCAGACCGATCCGACGGTTCACTTTTCCAAGCTTTGAGAGGCGGTAAGACGGTATTGCCGGTGAGCTTACTTCGCTTGCCAGGACCAGCGAGAGATTTCTGACACTCCGTCAAAGTTGGAAGAAAAGGAAACAAAATGGAAATGAGCAAGTTAAACCCAGCATTCGTACCTGAGGTGAGAACAAGAGCAAGTTAACGTGGGCCTGAGCTGAGAAGCCGTAGAATGCTGCCAAGCATTTGGAGGGCCAAATCCATTGAGTGAAAGGGGCAAAAGCCTGCTTGCCGAGACTTCAGCCCCTGTCAATCAGAACCTTCTCACAAGAGACCTCAGTAAATCGAGCAATGATCACCCTGGTTGCTCGTTACAACCGACCCAGCTGGCATACGGGACTCTTCGGCAAGCAACAAAAGATAAGCAGTACGACTTGATTAACAGGCCATTGGGTTCGCAAGGGCATATCGTCCCAGAAGAAGTCGAGAGCACGAATGAAAAGAAGCCCGAGCCGCTTACCCGCGGCGGCAAAGGCCGCTTTGCCGCGGCCGCTCTCCTCTCGGCCTGCTTCTGCTCCCTCTCCTTGCGCTGCGCCGCTTGCTCGTCGAGGCCGCGCCACTGCTCACGGAACTCATCCGGGAGGATCCGATCCATCCGCCGCTCTCCCGCCACCGCGTGCAGACCGGCGACCGCTGCAGCCTGCTGGGCTGCTTCTGAGTTGGGCGCACCTGGATTTAAGAGACACTGGATTAGCAGAGGGTACCCAAGTAGATTAAGGGGGCCGAAGCGAGGGAGGTATGCAATCCGGGTCAGCCGGGCTGCGCCGTCCAGGCCTGCTAAGCAGCCGAAGTAAGATATCTGAGGTGTGGAAGTGAAAGTGTGAAGAAGGGTAAGATACATGTTGAGTTGGCAGCGCTTCGGGCCCTTCGCGATGAAATAGTGTTGGAGTGCTTCTCACTCGATTCAGGTCATCAAGACCCATAAAGTTTTCCTAAATGCATGAAGTCTGTAGTTCAGAGCGCTCATGTAAATATCATCAATAATAAGGCTTCAACTCACCTTCGTTCCACCAAAGCAGAATGTCCTTCTCTGAGTCCTTCGGATCTGGGATGACCACCCTGCAACGAAACATGCCTCCTTCCGCCTCCACCTATGCAAAGAAAGCTGCCTGTTCAGACCTTGCCGGCTTTGTCAGAGCTTTGCACGAGGCCCAGATCGTAGCAGGCAAATGCTGAAAAACCACATACTTTGACTAGCCTACCACGTCCTTTTCCTGAGTTTGAAAACTCTCCAAAAGCTCGTGTTGTGGAAGACAATAAAAGCAGAGCAGAACGCGCCCACACGCATTATAAGTTGAGCCACTCAGTACGTTACTAAACAGATAAGGTACACACGGCCGAGCCAGACACCACACTATCACAAAGCCAAACACTTGGGACACCGCCCCGCTTACCAGCTTGAACTTGGGCGCAGGTCTTTTCTGCTTTTGACACCATTCTGACAGCATCTGCTTGGGAGACTTGACAAGGTACTTGGGGATCGCAGCCTCCGCCACCTCTGCCGACCCGACGGCAGCTTCGGGACCCTCAGTTCCAGAGGCGGACAGCGCATCGGCGCCGGTCTTGTGGTTGACACCATCTGCGTGCTTGTTCTTTATGTGCTCCTGGTAAGAAACGGCAGAGCATGAAAAGCCGGAGAACTTAGGAATACTTGCCAAGAAGTGGACCTATCTAGAGCATCAAGAAGTCTCGAGTTGCAGCAGCCGTCTGCTGTCAAAATGGAAGGACAGAGATTGTGCACTCCGGAGGCGACTTTGGAGACCCTTCCAAGCTAGAAGCCGTCAGGATTGAAGGTCTGGCATGAACGATTCACTGATTTCGACCATCGATCAAAAGAGTAATAGTGGAAGGGGTCCAGAAAGAGTCCACCGGGAGTCCCTGTACTCCATCCATTCGTTCTGTCACTTGTCAGTTGAGAGTCTCTTACAGAATTATAAAGGTGGACTTTTGCACCTTTCATAACTGGTGAATTTCAGGGCCGGGGCCCAGTACTGTGGTTTTGAAGACCGCCTGCTTAAATGAACCGCTGTTATGTGCTTAAAAGTTCCTGTGAAGATTGTGGTGGTGGTATGAAGTATTGCAAAGTCGTTGGCTGCAACTCTTCTAGAAAACACATAAGAAGATCTGGCGGAGCGTTGTGCTCTTCTCAAGTCTGGTATACTCAACTCACGATACATAAAGGCATCAGTATACACTGGCAGTATGTTGATGACTACAGGCATGAAAGCGCAACGGTAATATTAGGTTTGCGACTGCGATGCACTAGCATGCCTGAATGTTGAAAAAAAATAAAGCTCATTGCAGAATGCCGAACTTACGAACTTCCCAAAGTACACTCTCTTCATTGCCACTCTTTAATCAATGCCCCAGTCAGATCACCCCTATCGCACCCTTTGATCCGAGACGGCTTGACAAAAGACGTTACTGACTCGATGATGGTGGTCCTTTTCTGCACCACCTACTTGCCCAATCACTGTTGAGTGGAACAATTGGGGATGCGATCAACAAGATTGAGAATGGTTTATGTCAATCACTCCTTTCACCACCGCCCTTACGCATCTGCCCAACCCATGCTTCACCAGCATAGATCATCGACAAGAGTGCTGCGTTGCTAATAAGCGCACCTTTAAGCGACCGTCCTGCTTGAAGATGCGATCGCAGAGAGGACACTCAATTGGTTGTCCACCATTCTTGGCATTCGTGGGCTCCGCTTTGCCTCCTGTTCCAGCAGCCCCCGAACTGTAGATATGCCGCTTGGCTTTGGCAGCATGCTTGTTCGGGCGCGCTTTGTCCATTCTTGAAGCGCACAGCACTTTTAACTTTTACTATTCAAAGCACAGCACTTCTAACTTTTACTATTGGTTTTCTTGAATTGTTGCCTCCCAGTACTGCAATTTGCCAGGCATGACGATCTCGCGGTAAGGCTATTTTATTCGTGATCCTATTGGCCGAAACCCTTACCGGGTTGACCGCGTTGATCGAAATCGATACTTGAACGACTAACCCCCTACTGACCCCAGCAGATTCCCTACTTCGCAAACAGAGTATGACTTAACCCCTTTTACTGAACCCAATCCTACATCGTAACACTTCCAAGGGGGAGGGCGTAGGCCATGCATGGACTCACACCCAAGCCTTGGCCAAGGTCAAGAGCGATCGGACGGTACATATTGCAGCACGATATACACCGATATATACTTTCATCGGACGGTGTAAAGTGCCCCTGAAATTCTAGCAGTGTCCGCCCTCCACAAATCGGCCGTGGCGCGGCGGAACGAGAACTTACTTCGACACCGGAAACCGAGACTTCGAGTTTCAAATTAGGTACGCAATCCCCAGTACTACGGTATATGAGTGACGGTGTCCTAGTAGGACTCCGGTCAACCCTTGTGAAAAGGCCGTGAAAGGCTGTAGCCTGTAATTCAAGCAACATCCTGACTTACGCAACCCCCGGGGGTTACCGCAGAACTGCTACATACGCGCTAGGTGCGAATCAAAGGTAACTCGAGCGATGTAACTAGCCGCATGCAGCCGGCCTAACTTTTTTCACGCCGGGCCAGGCGCTATCCATGCTGTACCCTGTGAGTCAAGGCTGCTGTGACAAGCCGGCAGTAGCATAGCGTTGACATTTGTACGTGGCGATCTACGGTAGGTTCGACCTGTCAGACAAATCATAATCGAGTAATCCCTCAGCCCTGGTCAACAAGGTACGGATCATCTGACGGTTTAAACTTTAGGGTTTGCCCTTGGTTGACCTTTTGTAGCGACACTTTAGGAAGAGTTAGAGCTTTTATATTAACAGCTCAAAGCTCAGCCTCAAACCAATCACTCTCAAGTCTCAGCCCAAAGTCACCATACCGTACCAATTGTCCGGTTGGGCAGAATTTTGCCCAATAATTAATTTTGTATCTCAGGGATTTTGGGCAGCTTCATTTATCCATTTATTTTGCTTTTTTACGGGGCAAAATGATCTGCAAATGTTTGATCAGAATTTATTTTAATGTCAGATTTTTGAGCAAGTCAAAGAATATTTAATTGATGCTCAGCCGGACAATTGGTCCGGTAGGTATGAATTCCATTCCGATCGATGTATAGTGAACAGT